CACTGTGCAGGGAGTGTGCAAAGCATGTGTGACAAGCACGGCAAGAGCGTGTGCCAGGCAAGCGGCAAACACGCCAAGGTCACGCCAGGGCCACCCGGGGGGGGCACAGGGTGGGCACAGAGGGCACAGTGACTCGTGGGGAACACGCAGAAGACACGCAGCACACGGGGAGCACACGGAGAGCACGCGGTGCATGCGCATCACACATATCACACACAGTGAGCACATGGAGAGCACGCAGTGCACACACATCACACGCACATCGCACATGCATCGCACACGCAGTGAGCACACATCACACACACAGTAAGCACATATTGCACACACAGTACACACACATCACACACCCTGCACACACATTGCATACACATTGCACACACATCACACACGCCGTGAACACGCTGCCACTGTCCCAGCCCCCGCACAATGACAGGGTCCCCTGCGGGCCGGCCAAGCCCCCGCCCAGCCCTGGGTGTCCCCAGCACCCGTGGGTGCCCCGGGGCTGTGGGTGCCGGCTCTGCTGYCCTGTCATTCCCGGCTCCGTGACCCACATGGCGGCGGGGGCAATTCGGGAATACGGAGGAGCCCCAGGAGGGGAAGGAACCATCCCTGTCCCCCCTGCAGACCCCTCAACAGTGGGGGCATCACAACTCAGCCCCCCAGCCCGCGCTAATTGGGGAGCCCTCATTAGCAGCACTCACAAAGGCCCGGTTTGCCCCAGCACGGGCTGCAGGAGCGGCCAGCAGGGCCTGGAAAAGCAGGAATTTGGGCAGATTTGGGGGGGCTGGCCAGGACTCCACCGTGGTGACCCCAAGCTGCAAATCCCCTCCAGCATCCCCCAACAGAGGGGGAGAAGAGGGCGGAGGCAGAGCGGGGCCGGGGGCTGCAGAGCTGAGCAGGGGGAGGGGCCGATGGCAGGGACGGGGGTCCGGGGGGGTTGATGGAGATGGGGAAGGGTCCGGGGGTGACGATGGCAGTGAGGGGGGGTTGAGAACAGKGGTGGCAGTGAGGGGGGTCCGGGGGTGCCGATATCAGCGATGGGGGGTTTGAAAGTACCGATGGCAGTGAGGGAGGGGTCCCAGAGGTGCCGGTATCAGTGCCGGGGGGGCCCGGGGGTGCTGGGGGGGCCCGGGGGTGCYGGTATCGGTGCCGGGGGGCCCGGGGGTGCAGGTATCAGTGCCGGGGGTGCCGGTGTCGGTGCCGGGGGGGCCCGGGGGTGTCGCAGCGGCGGCGGGCGCAGCCAATGCGCGGGGCGGGCGGTGAAGTCACCGCGGTGCCGCAGCCATCGGCCCCGGCGCAGCCGCTCCGCGCACCGAACGCTGCTGCTCTCAACCCCCGCTGGCGTCACGGGGAGGGGGGGACACGGCCCACGCGAGGGGTGGGGGCTCCCACGGGGTCACCGGGACGGGAGGGGGTCCTGCTCCCYCCCTGCTCCCCACARCCRGTTCTCGGTGGCCRCGGGGACGGAGGGASGKGACCCCCCTGCCCTGTCCCCCCCATCCCGGTGCGGGCCGGGCTGAGCTCTGCCCCACGCGTGACCTGCGCGGCCCGGGGGGTTCAGGGGGCCCCCAACCCCTGCCGTGAGCTGGAGTGTCCTTGTCCCGCTGCGGGGGGGTCCCCAAGGCGTGTCCCTGTCCCTGGGTGCGGGATGGGGTGTCCAGGGCTGTCCCCATCCCTGGGCTCGAGTGTGGCTGAAGAGGGGGGATTGGGGTGCCCGGGGGGTGTCCCTGTCCCTCAAATAGTGCAGGGGGGGTTTCTGAGGGATGCTCGGGGGGGTTGCCCTTCTTTGTGGGTGCAATTTTGGGGGTGACTGTAGGGGTCCCTGTCCCTGAGTACAGCACGGGGGGGTGACAGAGGGGTGTCCCTGTCCCTGGATGCAGCACGGGGGGGGTTCCGGGTTTGGGGGTGCAGGGACCCTTCCGGGGGTGTCCCCAGGCTCCCCCACAGCACAGGAGGGTGCCGGGGGGCGTCCCGGTCCCCGGAGGGTCCCCGGAGGACGTGGCCCGGTGCAGCCAGGGGGGTACCCGAGGGGGCTGAGGTGTCCCCAGAGGATATCGGGCGGGGGATGGGGACTCGGGTGGGTGCCCGGGGAGGGTGGGGTGTGTTCCCGGAGGGGTCCCGTGGGGCATTTGGGGTGTCCCCGGTGAGTGCCCGGGGGGGGTCTCTGTGTCCCCGGGGGCAATCGCAGTGTCCGGAGGGGCTGTTGGCGTGTCCGGGGGGTGTTTGTGTCCCCGGTGCTGCCCAGCGGGGTCGGGGGGTGCACTGGGGGAGATGTTTCCGTCCCCGGTGTGAGCCCGGGCGCTGGGCTGTCCCGGGGGGGCTGTTTGGTGCCCGGGAATGGGGGCTCTGTGTCCCCGGTGGGTTCCCGGTGGGTTCCCGGGGGGTGTCCGGGGGGGTGCTGATGTGCCCCAGGAGTCTTTGTGACCCTCGGGGCGGGTGTTGGTACCCCGGGGGGGCCCGCCCGTGTCCCCGGCGGGGTGTCCCCGTCCCGGGGCGCGGCGCGGGGGGTGCC